GGCCCTCTTTGAAACGTTTGTACCACTCGTAAACTCTTGTTTTACTCATAGTAGACTCACCAAAAGCCACAGTCAACATTTCGAATACGGTGCTGCACTTTATTCCATTTTTCAAGCAAAATTTAATACAGATTCTTTGATCCATTTTTTCCGAAAGTAAAAAATCGCCGAGCACACCAAAACACGTATAACCTTTTCGACTGTCAACAATAAACTAAACATTCAAAATGGATGCAAATGTCAACATATACGTAAGAAACATGTGTACGAACAAGATGAAAAAAAAAGTTGAAAATCGGATTTATACAGCCCGCGAAATTTAAAAATTCCCGTTATTTTTTTATCAAACCTCGTATAAACTGAAAAAATTGCATCAAGAACGGACTTATTTACAAAAGCGCGTAGAGCGAAACTGCTCAGTATTGAAAATGTTTGTTATTGTGTCGGACAACTGTGATGTACATAGTTTAACCGCCAAAGAGTTGGAATATGTACCGAAAATTATTTTGTTACAAAAATTTAAAAATTACATGGATCAATTGTGTTACAGATTAAAGTATATAAAAGCTGATTCAGAAGTTCAGCAACATCGTCGGTGCTTAAAACATTGTAATTTGCCTTGTTATCATTCACATATCGATGGTTTGGCACCATTTATAAAAAATTGCTGCGAATGTCGACTACAACAACAACAAGAGACTACGGCTTTTTAAATCATGCGATAAATGCACTTCTATTCGAATTACATATCCCCGAATATCAATTTTGTGGTCCAGGAACACATTTAGAAAAACGATTGATTAGAGGCGATCGAGATATTAATCCGTTGGACTCGGTGTGTCACGAACACGATATAACTTATTCACGGAATAAAGATCTCGCGAAATGACACGTAGTTAATAAAATACTCGCCGAGAAGGCACAGAAGCGTATTACTGCGATAAATTTGACTCTCAGAGAGAGAGTCTCTCGGAGAGAGGCTGCTGCCGTTACTGTTTGGGCGGCTATGAAAGCTAAGACGAAAATCGATATGGGTTTGAAAACAGAGAAGAAGTCAATGAAAAAGTAAATATTTCCGATGAACGCAAAACGCGGCGATTTTTTATCTATTCTACCGCTGCTGGAAGTCATCGACTCGCTGATTGGCGACGCAGCAGGAATTACAAAAGCTGTAAACGACAATAAAGCCGCGCAGCGTCAATTGGAAGAACTGAAACGTCATAATCGTGTCATGGAAGATCATGGAGTTTACCTCACTCCGTACAAGGATGGACGAAGGATCTCAACAGAGAAAAAACTAAGAAAAATAAAAAAAACCGATAAAAATATCTAAGGGTATAACTACCAACACAGAATTACAACAACTGGCAAAACCTATGCTCATTCCATATTTTAAAGGTATTTTTATACATATTACCTTACCAATGGGGGAAGTATACTAAACCAAACAGTATCGTAAATTTGGATAATGCCGAGGGACCAGGTACTCATTGGGTAGCGTACGCGAAGCGGGGAGATCGTACTTTGATAGTTTCGGCAATCTTCGACCACTGAAGGAATTGGTGCGATATCTAAACGTAACGCAAATCGAGTATAATCGCACGCCTTATCAACATTACGATCAAAGCAACTTGTCGGTAGACAACTGTGTCTGCAATTTTTACAGACAGTTGACGATCAATTTAAGAATTGACATTGCACTCTTTCAACTCAGTATTCATTCAAACATGTCACTGACATTTATGCTGTGACGTGACGTTTTCCACATAAGGATCGGAAGACCGGACCGAATAGCGCAGCTCTGGCGTCCTAGGTCCTTTCACTTTTTAGAAAGCGGACACATCTGCGCACTCTTGTAGCATTATTTCGTCTATTTCGGGTTTGTTTTGTTTTATGTGTGCGTCCCGCAGATTTTCTGCATCGGTTTATTGTTCTTTCGTGCGTTATTATATCGCGAGTTTTACAGGATAATTGGCGATCCCCTTGCGACCTTGTAAATTTTCGCGTCACCGAACAATAGATGAAGAGAGAAGACGGTCAGGACCGAGAGCTGGGAAAGGAGCAATTAAGGACGGATTGGCTAGGACGCCCAGCATCCTACAAGAAATCCTTACGGGCAGCACACAGGTAATATCGCTCCAAATTTCAATATTTTTGCTTTGGTCTGGAACATGCTGCATCGCACTCTATTACAGGCGCATGGCGGAGTGATCGCGAGAACCGCAGTCGGGGATGGCCACTCTACGCCCAAGGATCGGCGAGAGACCCTACGACGGAGTTGCGGAGATCTCCCCTGAAGAGTCGGAACCAAGGTTGGAAGCGGAGGCACCGACTACGGGGGAGACGCCGACACCGAGATGCGAGTCCCCCGTAAAACGAAGATCTGGAAGAGTCTCTTAAGCGGCTGAAGGAAACTTTGCGATCCAGTCGAATTCCGCGCGTCAAGATACAGAGTACGTGAGTGACACGGCTCACGCAATTCGCGGAGCCGCAGGGCCGCGCGCCAATTAGACATGATAAGATCCGCTTGTGGAAATTGCGATCACTGCGTGCCCCCGGAAGAATCAGCGCCCGGCATTTGTGCTGTGACGAGCGAGCGAGGAGCACCGGTGAAGAACGCAGGACGCCTAATATTCAGCATCGCGAGCTAAAGCCTGAGAGCGGATGACTATCGGGATAAGACGAACGTCACACAATTGTAAGGTCGCAAAATTTCCATGTCCAGGAGGCGCCTGCAATTATCGTTGTCGGATTTGGTATGTGAGACGCACGCGGAAGTGTCGTGCATCAGGTTTTTCGCGGTATTTGCGTCTAAGCGTGTCGCTTCCCGCAACGAGAGACTCGTTATAAGATTTCCGGGAGAGTTATTTCCGCGTCCGCCTAAGCCACAGCCTAGTCATTTTCATTAAGTCTTATCGAGTTGCCTTGTTATATCAGAATTTTGTATCGTGGTATCTGCATGTTCTCTATCTCTTTCCAATATTCTGTAAAACGATTTGAAGCCCCGCTGATGAGCACGAGGTCGCGCTGTGTTTGTGATAACACTGTAACTGTCTCCTATTTCGGCTCTCAAGACGTCGAATTATTTATCGCGCGATTTGCGAGAAGTATTCTCACGTGGCATGAGCTCATGCCATTGAGAGTTAGCGTAATTAATACGCACCGCTGATCAAGGCCCCTGGAAGGTTTTTGAAAGGTAAATGCTGGTTTATTGTAATTATTACTATCAGAATTATTGAAGTAGAATTGTCTTTTACGACATTCATTCACTAAGCGACTGAAATTTTTGCAATACGTACATATTTTCCTAGCGACATCGTTGGTGATGCCGGGCGGAGTATTTTCGCAAGATGCAGCAAATGAGAAGGGTGGGGCGCTACGTTGAAGGATTCTAGGCGATATCGTGTTATCATCGCGCGAGTTATGATGCTCGTAGTAGCTACTTGTAGCTTCCCTTTCTAAA